CTGCTCCAGTGGCCGGGAAGAGGTTAATGGGGGGAAAAGGAGACATATGTAATACTTTAAACAATAAAGAATTTAAATTTAAAAAAGTAACTTTTCCTTAAAAACTAAAACAAGAACATATACTTGTTTGAAGAGTACAGATTGCCAGAAATTTCAGGACTTCTAAGCACCTTTACCAAATGTCAGTGGAGCAAGTTGAGGATGGCACTCAGGGGGCATGCATGTAAGGGATTCCGGTGCTCCTGCCCTTCAGATGCCGCAGAAAGAGCAGAGGCCACCGAGCCGGATGTGCTTAAGGAGTCTGAGTAATTGGGGACTTAAATAATGCTGGTAAGATGCTCTGAGCTCCCGGAAGACATGCACTATGTAATTTAGTGGCCACAGTATTAATTAAGCACTTTTGCTCTAGGAAGTATTAATAATCCATGATTTAGAAATTCTAAGGCCCTTCAACTAATTTAGCTGTGGCAGAATGCGTAAGATAATATTGTTAAAAAATCATGGCTCTTTTCAGTGAATAACCTTTTTGTAAAGGAAAATTTTTAAAAATCTGTCTTTGCATTACATTAATAGGAATATTCTATACATAAATCTGGGTTAGCAAAGTCTTCATTTTTACTTTCCAATGTGTGAATTACATATTCTAAGAAGATTTAACTTTGAGCTCATCGCTCTTCATACTGTATTTAAAATTCAATCTTCTTTGGACATATAAATAAAACAGTATTCATACATATATGAATGGATGGCCTGTATTCTTTGTGCACTCTTAATTCTAAGAGAAAATTTAGGCTTAGGGATTTAAGAAAACCCATAATATCAACTCAGTAATTGATGCCTTAGGTTTGTAAATTTTCTACACATAAAATGTCCTTAGTTTATACACTTAAAGAGAGAATATGCCATATATTCAATCTTCAACCCACAAAGAAATGTAAACACAGGTATTAACAGGGCAAGACATGGTAAAAACTCAAGAAATTCGGGTTCATGAAACTCTCACAGCGAAAGTAAGTACTGTCTCTAGTGTTACAAATACTTAATGCCCTAACCGGTTTGGCTCAGTGGATAGAGCGTTGGCCTGCTGACTGAAAGGCCTCAGGTTCGATTCTGGTCAAGGGCATGTACCTTGGTTGCGGGCACATCCCCAGTAGGAGGTGTGCAGGAGGCAACTGATTGATGTTTCTCTCTCATTAATGTTTCTAACTCTCTATTCCGCTCCCATCCTCTCTGTAAAAAATCAATAAAATATATATTTTTAAAAATACACAAATTAACATAAATTGTCAATGCTAGGATGAACTACTGAAATATGCTTCAAAGTATTATTTACAAAAGTAAGAGCAACAGCATGTACATAAGTTATTGCAGAAAAATATTGAACTTGGATTTGGAAGACCTGGGTTCTACCCTCAATTTTAGACTTGCTCATGTATTTCCCAGCAGTCACTTAATTTCACATAGCTGTTTAACTATTTTATTAATACATCCCCTTTGTTTTCAATTCTCAAACATACCCCAATTTCTTAGTCACCCTAATTTCTGACTAAGGTGGGAAGACAATGAAGAGTTGCTACAGGTGGAACCTGAAATCTAGCCTCAATCTCCATAGTGGGTTGAACAGCTCAGACTCTACAGCAGGGCTTTGCCACTATTAAGTGTCTTGGTTTCCTTTATTACCAATTAGAGGTAGGTTCAAGGTGCCATTTTCCATAATCTCTGTCTACTAGAAAGGTTTGCAAATGCTCAAAAACCCTCCTACCACATTCAATAGCTGCTGTCCTTTGATACTGTGTTTTACTGGGCAGACTGGCTTTGACTTTTTGCCATGTTCATAAAAGTCACTTAAGTTTATTATGCCTTTGGACATCCTGCCATGTTAATATCCAAATGTCTGTCAGCTCCCCTGCTCCAGGGCCTAATAAGGGAGCCTCTGCCACCTGCTCATCCCTGTCCTGCCAGGTCCTATTCGAGAGATTCCTGCATGCTCCCAACCTAATCCACATGGATGTTCACAGTGCGGGCCAAGCAACATGATGGATGTGAAAGGTGGAGGGAGCTTTGTAGATGGCACTGGTCGGTGACAGTGACACCCTGGCTGCACTCTTGTTCTGTTTCACTGGGTTTGTTTCCCTTTCCTGGGCCGCTATTTCCAGACTCCACAACCACAATTCATTTCAAGGGCTGCAATCGGTCAGACATATGATGTAAGGTTTCTCCAAATCTTACTACTTATTTAATATAAATCTGATGTTACGACATTATAAAACTTACTCTTTGATGCCTTCTAACAGCTTGAAGTTTAGGTTATCTTCACTTCTGTCAAAGAAACCCTTGTTGTCTAGAAAGACCAAATGCCTTGGGTCCTGCTTTCGCTGGATAATGTGTGCGAGAGCCACAGAATCTTGGTTGTCACATTTTGGCCTCAGTCCACTCTGTACACAGGTATCTTCCTTTCGAGGTCTGAATCCACAGCAATTTGTGTCTAGGCGATTATAAATCTGAAAATGGAAAGCGAAAACAAAATCCAAGATTCTGAGTGAAAACAAAACTTGGGAAAGTTAGCTGATTTCCAGAGAACTGGTGCTTTCTAAACAGCCGGCCTGCCAGAATCTAACAGAGCCAGGCTCATTTAATTAAAGACAACTGTCAGACGAAGCCCAGGGCTCATATCCCTCTGACTCAGCCGTGGTCATAAGCATTTCCAGCTTCTGCTAACAGCTCCATAGGCAGATCATCCAAGTTAGGTGTCTCCACCCTTCACATTCAAAGTTCCCACTGACATCACATGTCGATGCACAGCCAGAAGAACCTCTAACTCTATTCACGACAGAACACAGAAACTGCTGTGCTTTGAAATATTCTGAAGACTACATCTTGTTTTCTCCCTCAGGCTGGGTTACAGAAAACCTAAGTCATCTCAGTGACTAAAAGTTTACTGCACCCCCCGAACCTCTCTGGGCTTCAGTATTACTTAGCTAACTTGAAATAACATAGGGCAAATCTATTGAAAAGATGTGACATCCAATAATGATAACTAAAAACGCTACACAATTGGACTCTAAATATGTGAACAGAATGGACAAAATTATTGGACCTATTGGGGTTTTATTATGGAGAATAGAGCCACTGCCATATAGAAGAAGGTAAATAGAGATATTGATTAGAAAAGGGAGAGTTGTGTAATTTCTATTTCTTTGGGACAAGGAAGGGAATAATATTTATTAACCAGGATAAATTAAAGCCTGTGATCAGGAATTAGATAAACTTAAAGTCAATCTCTGCTCCTACACTTGTTAGCTCTGTGGTCTTGAGATGGGTTAAATAATCTAGTCTGGATAAAATATTAGTAGCAAAGTTAAGATTTAGACACAGTTGTGTTTGTCTCCAAAATTCCATGATTTTTCCCCAGTATGTCATGCTGAATAGTTTAAGGCTAGTCAAAGACTGTTCATATACTCATGATTCAAAAGATGGCTAGAGACAGACTGTCATTTTTATTCTTTTTGGCAATAAGTTCCCATCCTTTCTCTCCTGTGTTTTTGCATTTCCTGTAAGGCTGGCCACTTTAGGAGGCCAGCTGCTGAGAAATGAATGCAGCAAGACTATTACTAAAATTTAGCCTACGTTGAAGTGATCATTCGTGCATTCATCCAACAAAAGTTTACTAAATATCTTCTACCATCAGTAGGCTAAGCACCAAGGCAAATGCTGGCCATGGCCAGCACCTCCCACCACCACTGCTTCCAAAGGAAAATGGTCATTTACTTTTGCCTCACTACCACAGCAAACTTTAAGAACTGGGCAAATGGCCTCCCTCTCTATTTTCTGTGTGTAAGTGGGCTTTGTATCAAATAACATACTTTCAGAAGCAGACATGAGAGAAGTCAGCCTAACAAAATTTTCTATGAAGTTTATATCAAACCAGTCACATGGGGTAAGGATGGTCAGTGAGCCACAACACATTTGGACCACTCAGAGGGCACACTGCTGGTCTAGGAGCAATCTGTCAGTGAGGGAGGCCTCTGTCAGGTCTGGTTCCAGGCAGCTGATCCATTGGGGCCATGGTCTAACCAATGGTTTATCCGAAAGGTCACCAGCCTGACTCTGAACAGGAAGTTCCCACTGGTTAAAGCACATTTGTTTGACATGAAGATAGAAGAGTTTCCCAGCCATGCAAATCACTGAAAGTTAAAAGAAAAAAGCATAAACTAGAAACCATTAGAACTTATTGAGCCCTTTATACTCCATTTCATTCATTTTATGTAGTACCTTGACTGCCTTTGAATATAAGAAAAACCAAATGATATAAAGAGATTGCATTTGTTTTTGTTTTTTATTCTTTATTGTTTAAAGTATTACATATGTCTCCTTTTTCCCTCATTGACCTCTCCCTGCTTGTTCCCACCTCCCTCCTCCACATGCCCTCCCCCACTACTGTCTGCGCCCATGGGTTCTGCTTATATGCATGCATACAAGTCCTTAGGTTGATTTCTCATTTGAATGTAAATTAAGATCAGGGGGTCAGGGAGAACATGAAAAACAGCTCTTCCAGAAGTTGCTTCTCATCCATTCTCTTTTTAAATATGCATTAGTTAATAATTCTCAAAGAATTTCTAGACCATTTTCATGTTTATATCCAGTTATAATGACAATACTAAACTGGATTAGTGGGGGGAAAATACTAAATCCTATTTAATTTTGACTATAGCAGCATCAAGGTCCATTATGTTGGATATACATGTTTAGAAATTAATCCTGAAGGACAAATCTACCAACCACTTCCTAAATACTGCTCTAAACCCTAAACTCATTTTCCATTATTAATTTCATAGTAGTGGGGAAAGGCCTGACACATATATAGCCACAGTGCTGCTGTTTCTGCAATACAGCCATGCGAATCGCATACGTTAATGTTAAATAATAAGCACATTAGTGTTTAGGCCCTAACTTTCAGCACTTCTGTAAATATTATACTTTTTAATATATATTATATTAAAATATATATTATATTTAAAAATACTATATTTTTAAACTACATAAAAAAGCATTACAAATTAGAGGTGGAAAAGACCAACTTAAGTCATCTTGTTATTGCCTTCTCAACATCACACTGTTTCCTGCAGGGTATTTTTAAAGTGCTTCATCTGATCTAATTCTGAATCACTCAACAATCTGTGATGATTTCGCCACTTCCCTGACAGACTGTTGTGCCTTTTAAGTCTAACAGACCTTGTAATTGAAAAAGGATGTGTGTGTTCAAATCACCTTCTCTTCCAGAAAATGTTTACCACTCCTTGAATCAGGTCTACCCATGTATTTGGTGGGTATGTTCACATGTATTGACTGTGTGTGTGTGTGTGTGTACACTTAGAAATATAGCATTGAATTCAAATCTGAGATTTACTTTGTTTTTCTCATCTTCCAACTATAGTGAGTTATGTCTTTGTATTATTGCCCTTGTCTAGCAAGGACTTAAATAGCTCTTAAATCTTGTTCTCCAGCCCTTCTCAGTATTTTGTTTATAGTCTTCCTTTTGAATTCATATTCAATATATCAAGAATAATTTGACCACAAAACCATAATCCACTCCCTAAAATTCAATGCCATTTTCCTTGGTATTTAATTTAGTTACCTACTGGATATATTTCTGCTTTCTTTTAAGAGAGCTTAGCTATTTTATAAAACATACTCTAGATAGCTATGAATCTATAATACACTTTTAATACACTTGTGAACATATTAAAACAATCACTTCATTTACAACATGATTAGCACTGTAGTTCACATCTATGTGTCTATATTCTTAGATAATTATCCAACAAAGAAGATTATTTGAGGGTAAATTTTCTCAGTGAAGTGATTGAGCATGTCAAGCATCATTATTGCAGTTTGTTCAAATTTACATCTCCTCGCTCTTTAAGACAAGGAAAATCTTTTGCAAAATCGATCTGCTAAATCTGAAAATTACTGCCAACCATCATTTTCCATAAAATTACTCTTTTAGGAAAATATATCTTTTCAATGTTTACCTAACTAAAATTATACTCAGAAAAATCCAGGTATGCCAGCCAAAGTTTTTGTTGCTGGGATATTTTTAGGTACATTGCCCTCTTCTAAAGTTTCTTTTTAAATTCCATTTTCCGTTGGTAGTGTTAGTTTTGCCTGCAGGGGAAAGTATCTTACCAGTGACTTATGTGATGCTCACAATATAACATAAACACGGATGCCTCTGCTGCACTGACCCGCTCTCCAAAGCCCCTTAGAAATCCACAGCCTTCCAATGACTTTCCACCCTTCTGCACACCACCCATTCTAGCGGTGTCTTCAAAGAGTGGGTCCATCAAAGCAATTGTGGTACGGATCTTTGTACCGCATTTTGAATTAACACAGTACAAGACTGCCAACGAGGGTAAGAGGAACATGAAGGCAGATAGTCAGAGCCAAGGTGAATAAGAGTATTTTATAATACTCTTATCATAAGTAAAAGCTAGACGTAAAAGCTAAAAAAGCTGATGTGTCTACAAGTTTCACTCTCATTTCCTCATGTGTAGTTGGAAGAAAGGTAATAGGCAAGGTAGCAGGGCATCAGGTGAAAATGTTAAAAGAGGGAAAGCGGAAGGGAACCAAGGCCAAATGTAATTGGAAGCCGGACAGAGAGTTAAAGGAAGATGTTCTTCTTAATATACATTATAAATTGTCTTTATCCAAATGTTTTTCCTAATTATTTGAGTTAAACTACATAATCCTGTGTATTTTTCTACACTTCTTTAAGAGTCTGTGTGAGGGTGAGTGAGTGAGTGAGTGTGGAGGAGAGGTGTTTCCTGTTTGGTTAGTATCTTAGGATTCTCACCATCTCTATTTGTTTTTGGCACTTAAAAACTGCATCTTTACAAAAAATGCATTTGTACAGAGAAAGTTTAAATTATCCAATAAAACATGTAATGAATGGAGGTTAGCAGTTCACCATAGCAACTCATCCAATGCCTGTTACACAGTAGGCACTTGATAAATGTTTATTATTGAAAGAACCTTGCTGAACGCTTATATTCACTTTGTATTTGGCTCTTTACAAAGCTCCTCCAAAACACTGTCTTCTACTGGAAATAATCAAATAAACTGAGTAATGTTGACATGGGTTTTTTTAAAGTCGCATCTAGTGCCGTGGTTCTCAACCTTGGCTGCACATTAGAATCACCTGGAAATCTTTTTAAAATCCTGATTTCTTGGCCTCATCCTCCGGAAATTCTGTTTCTTTGTTACTAACGTTATGGCCTTACCCCATAACAAAGAAACAGAATTTCTGGAGGATGAGGCCCAAAAATCAGGATTTTTAAAAGATTTCCAGGTGATTCTAATGTGCAGCCAAGGTTGAGAACAACTGATGTAGTGAATGGCGTTGGAAAAAAATAGAAAGGGGGCAAACAATGAAAGATCCTGTGCTTGTCATTTGCTCTTGGTTGGCTTCTTTATGTGGTTTCATTT